GCTGTGTGTATATGTGTTGAAAATCTGTATTAAGTGTGAGAATATGTGTATGTGTGTGTCTGTGGGCATGTGTGTGTGAGTCTGTTTATGTGTGCGTATTGTGGGGATATGTGTGTGTGCGCATGTGTTTGTCTATCTGTGAGTGTGTATATGCATGGATATTTGTGTATTGGTGTATGTATGTACATAATTGTGTGATGGTGTATCAATACTCTCCTTTGTCTTTGAGTATGTATCTGTGTGTGATGGTATGTATGCGAGTGTGTTTACGTGTCCTGTGCATGTGTATATGAGAGTGTGTGTCTGTGTGTTTGTGGATGTTCATGAATGAGTGTGTGTATCTGTGTTAGTGTGTATTTGTGTCATGGTTGTCATTTGGAGGGCTCTGTGTGTACCTGCATACATTGAGTGTGTATTTGCAGGCACAAGGTTGTCAAATTGTGAATGAAATGGTTGGAGCCCACCTTATAGGAGTTAGTTTCTTTATTTCAGCAATGGGTTCCAGGAATGAAATACAGCTCATCAAGCCTGAACAGCAAGCCTTTACTCACTGAGACCTGATGATGGCATGACAATCATTGGATAAATAACTAAGATACACTGTTAATTCAATTAACATTTTATATAAATTAATAGCAGAATTAATGAATGCAATTTGAAGAAAATTAGTGTTAGTCTTTAAACATTGGAAAAATTTAAAGTATACCATTGCATCAATACTTTAACTTAGGAACACTTTTTGCATCATACCATACATTATGACAAATGTTTATTTAAATGATAGAAATAAAAAATATAAAATGAATTACAATAACTTTGAATTACAATTTTTAGAGAAAAATTTTGACTTTACAATACATGTGTACATTTCAAAAAAAGGATGTCTACTGTGGAGTAATAGTTAATGATAATTCTATTTAGAAAAAAACTGTAAAACAGCTTTCTGAGGGCAGCAGTGAAAGAGGAAGCAAAGATGAAAACCAAAATGGCTTAGAAAAAATTCCCAAAAGCAATCAGAGAATAAGTTAAAGTGAAAAGACAATTGGGAAATAAGGGGAGGGCATTCAGAAAATGGAAAGTGGTGTTTCCCCCTATATAAGACAGATGCACACAGCATTGTCTTCAGAGACTCTAAAGAGCAAGGTTCAGGACCACAGAGCCCAGAGGACCAGCAGCATCTGCAACATTCACAATGGCCAGGCCCTGTGCTCTCCTGACATTCCTGGTGGTGATGCACTACCAGTCAAGCTGCTGTCTGGGATGTGACCTGCCTCAGACTCATCACCTCAGGAACAAGAGAGCCTCCACACTCCTGGCACAAATAAGGAGACTCTCCCCTCTCTCCTGCCTGAAGGACAGAATGGACTTTGCATTCCCTTTGGAGAAGGTGGATGCCCAGCAGATCCAAAAGGCTCAACCCATCCAGGTCCTGGGTGAGTTGATCCAACAGGTCCTGACCCTCTTCACCTCCAATGAATCATCTGCTGCTTGGGAGACAAGCCTCTTAAACACCTTCTGTGATGAGCTCCACCAGCTGCTCAATGACCTGCAAGACTGTCTCATGGAGCAGGTG